CCGACTCTCTCTCCCTTCCCCCCTCCCTCTCTCTCTCTCTCTCTGTTTTTTTAGCGCAACACGCTTCTAACGATGTTTCCCCGCGAAGAAATGCAAAACTGATGCAAACTAAATGCAAAGAGTCTCCGACTATACTTGCCCGCTATTTCGAACCAGGTCGAGGTCAAATCAGGAATGCGAGATTTTTACGACAGCTCACCTCCGCTTCTGTCTAGAACTCAAGGGAAGTTCACATACGTTTTACGAATATGTCGAACAAGATATTGTATGTTTTGTAGCTTGTACGTTTTTACATGATTTATATTTTTTATCTATACAGAAATTTTTCTTTCTATCGGCGATAAAAAAAATCACCAGCGTCACGATAAAGACTGTAACACTTTTCAAACGAACCGATTAAATGTAAATTACAAAGACTAAAAGTAAAAGTTTCAATACAATGTATAATGTTTCGTCCCATTTCATAACGTTAAATAGAAAAATCGCAATAACGACAAAATCGTCCCTACTAGTGTTTAAATAAGCTAGACAACAGTATTTTCGCAAATCTAGCAGTTCTAGACAGGACGCTGTTATCCGATAAAGACATTCCCATTACGAATTTACCACGATTTTATATCCGGCGAGTGTTTCTTTACCTCTAGGGGGAAGGGGAGGGGGGGGGGGAAGGTAAAGAATGAAATGGAAAGAATTCATGGGCGTTAGAAACTCGAGGAAAAGATCATGGGCAGCGAGCTCACGGGGTTGACCATTTGTTTCACTCGATTCTAAAATACGGATTGTTCCTGCGAAGATAAAAGAACTCGCTCGAAGCGCCGCCGTTAAGATCGGACCCTTTTACGCGCGGGCGTTAAGATCGACGAGATTAGAAACGTACGACTCGTCTGGGAGAGGTGAATGGCATCGTTACGATAGCAAGGTATGGTACATCGCGTCAAGTCGCTCGAAAATTCACGATAGGATTATCCCCGATTATTCCGCGAGCATCTGTCGGCAGCACGCCGCAAAAAGCAGGCACGCCGAACGGAATCGACAGGAAGTCACTCCGACGAATCGCGAATGTCGATTATTTCATACCGCGGAACGATCGGTTGTACACAGATTTTTTCTTGTCCTCCCCTCTATCTTTTTCACATCCGGTCCGGAAGAGCCCTCCGAAATTCCCTCCCCCTCCTCGCCTGAACCGGTACTTCATGTTCCCATTGTAACACTGTGCCGATTATAACCTGTTACACTTCGTTACGTCGATTATAAAATTATTTTCACGACATATTCTGGAGTTTTTAATAAAATAAAAAAAAAAACGAGGCTTTAAAAAAAAATATGGGCTTTTTCATCGTTATTGTTAGCTGAATCACGCGCCAGGATTTTGTTCTCTGACAGTGATTCTTGTTAATCTCACTGGTGAATTCTGTTCTCCAACTGAAATTCTCCGGTGTGAACGCGTTCGCGAATTTT